GAGCAGTAGAGGTAAGAGGAAATTGTTGGAAGTTTCTTATCTATTTTCGTACTTTACGGCTCAGGAGCTTTAGGGAGCTTTCTGCTCCTTGAATAGAGGAACTCACCAAAGATAAAATAACTGGGTTGGGCCCCAGACAGGAAAACCCCTTTCCATGTCAAGGACATCTGTTCCTTCCAGCAGTGCCTGCAAAGCTTGTGGAAGGGAAGGTGGGCATCTTTGCTTTCCTGTGGGTGTTTAGTGGAGAACATATAACCTCTGATTGAGGCTATACAACTCTCAGAATTAATGCTTATTTATGCTAAGTGCTGTTAAGAGAGAAATGCTCAGTTTACTGAACATGTGACAACACTGAAAATGATGAAAACTTCTCAAGCAGTTGGTCTTGCAGAGGGGTCAGAGATGATGGATAGAATCTTGCTGCAGAGAAAACAGACTGATTTTTAGATGATGTAGGAAAGAGAGATAGAGGCTTTTAATTATGTTCAGTGCACAGGCATAATCTATGACTACACACTGCTCTCAATTCTCAGTTAATCTGATGTCAATATAAGGCTTGTAAAGCAACAAGAATTGATTTTTTTTTTCTTTTTCTTGTGCCACCAAAGTGCTTGTCATGATAATTATTTGTTCACTAACTTTTCTCATATTCAGGCATCACTTTGGGAAAATAAATTCCCCTTGAGGGTTAGCACAGTTTCTATTTGTTTCTAAATCTTTTTTATCTATTCCTTTTTTTTTTTTTTTAAATCTGTTTTAGCATCTTGTATCTTTTTCCAAACATTTACTCTCATTTCACTTTTCATCTCTTTCCTCACTTTCACTTACATCAGCTAAAATAATTTGCAGTGGAACATTTTGTGCTGACACTTAAATGTCATCACCCTACTTTACATGCTTTATACTGCAGTGAAATAAATGATTTTGGTCATAGGGAGACATGCTGCCTGCCAATATTGTTTCAGGCTCAAGGTTTTTGGCATGTTCTGGAAGTGAAATCTGTATCAGCTGATCTTGAAAATACAAATCATATAAGTTTCATGTTTTGGTCAACTCAAAATGTATGTGAATGTAAACTTTTCAAAAAGTGATTTTACATTTTACAGTGGCTGGGTATATCATGCAGGCCAGAAACATGGTGCATGGTCTGAATCTAGCTTATGGATTCCTTCCATCTACAGTGATTCTAATCTATTAAAATATTTGCTGAATTTTGAGGCCATCACCATTTGTGATTAAAGGATGAGGGATACATTGTACAATTAATATCTTTTTCTCTTTTGGATGACTTTATACACAAATCTTGCAGCATGACTTTGAATGGAGATGCATGATTCCTGCTGAGACCAGGTGAGTTAGATGTCAAACTGGCTAGAAATACTTGTGTGACACATTTCTCTGCCACAAAACAGCAATTTCTTCAAACATAAACTTGTTCTGGAAATATAGTAATACAGAGAAAACTCTTGAGAGAGGAAGATTCTTCAGCTTAGGATGGAATTATCAGTCAAACTAGCACAGTCTGACTGCCTTGCCACCTTGGTAGGGCCAGTTAGGCAACAGCTTGGTACTTACTTGAGAAAAATTGAATTTGAGTTTGATTCAGTGTGGGGTTTGAACTGTCTCTCACATCCTTACTGAATCATCTCAACTTAAAAGTCTCAAATGTAATATTTGTAAACTAAACACAAGCATCCTACTTTTAACTATTGCTGCTTAAATATCTCCAGTCTAAAGAGTCAGAACAGCAAGAGGTCCCTGTAGGGATTTCAGCAGGTGCTTGACCATGCAACTTGTCTTAGAGGGTAAGAACAAGAAAATGCCCTCCTGTAGAGGGTGCAGGTGACTTACTGGAAGATAAACTGACAATAGAAGGTATATGGTGTTGGCATCAAGTCATGTTTTGTTTGTTAGTTTTTCTTTTCTAATTTATCCTATAAAGTACTTAGCACACTTTGATATGAAGCATGGTGTACTAATGAGACCACGCACACCATTTGAGGGAGTTTGTGAGAAGATGTCAATCTATTGGCCACATCCTGAAGCAGTAAGTGATTCCTCCAGTGCTGAGTGAACTCCCATTGTTCTTGTGATGCTGGAGTAGCTAGACCCTGACTGTTAGTATGCAGGATGCCTGTTTTAGCTCCCATTGACTTTGACAGGAGCAAGAGTAGGCCCCAGCTGTACTGCAGACCTATTTCCGAAGGCTCTACGTGTACATGTTAAAATGATGCTTGCTGCAGAGCCATTTTTAGTGCTCTGGAGTGCTATTTAGACATCATAGTTTTATCTCACTCTTCTCCTTCTATTGTGTGTCCCCATGAGACCTGTATTCTTTTGGCTTGTGAACCTCCTGGGAAGTCATACCCATCACGGCTGTGTAGCCTCTGTTTGTAGGAGTGACTTTCCCAGAAGAACGTTGTTAAGGGTCTGCATGGCCTCTTTTTTTTTTTTTTTTGTTTTCCCTTGTTCAGAGCCATCTATAGATTATTATTTTATTTTCTGCTTGCTGGGAGCAATTTTTTTAAAAGTTAAAATAGTAAGTGTTTTCTGTGAGAATTTCACTGCTGCTCAACCTGATTTTTGTCTTCCTAGGGTGCCCTTCTGTACAGGCCATGGGAGTACCTTAATATAGTCTCCATCCCTTTGGACTATTTCTAGGCCCTTAGTTTTTCTTTTCCTCTTATCATGGTGTGGCTGGTCAACATCTTCTGGTTGTCATCTGCGAGTAGGCAGTGAACCCACCATTGTAGGTCTGTTGTACCAAAAGACCTTTGTTTGGTGCAGACATGGCTTATGAGCATACACAGCCCTTGAGAAAGAAAGTTTTATTTTTTTCTTGTGGCTCTGGTCAATCAGCTAAATCCTTATCTGATGCAAACGAACCTAGTGGAAAACTCAGATGGCTGACGGAAAAATTTCTAATCATGTCTTTGAATGTTCAGTGTTCTGATGTAGCACTTTTGCAGCTCCAGAGGGCATTGCTTTCCAGTTGAGGTACTAAAGCATGGAAGTATTAATTCATGCATCTGGCTGGTATAGGGACAGCACTTTCAAAGAACTACTTGCAGTGCAATTAATTTCCTCTCTCCAGTCCTTTATAAATTGTATTCTTAATGCAATCATGTTTTTATTTTCAATTTTTTGTTTGCAGTTCCATTATATTAGAGTGTTCTCCATTATCAAAGATAAAACTAATTCAGAACTGCTCCCTATTAAGCTATAAACCTCCCTGCATAGTCTAAGGATCATGAAGAATTGCCATGTGTGTCAGACCAGAGATCAGAGCAGCTGATATAGCCCGCTGTTCTGCCCCCAACAGGGGACATACCAGATGCTTAGGAAAGACTATAAGAACAGGAGAAGAGTACTCGTTCAGCCTCCAACTGTTACCAGCTCAGGGACTTCCTGAAGTATGCAAAGTTTCTATATATCTAGTAGCGTGCAATGGACTGCTGTTCTGAAAATCTGGGAAGACTGCACATGTGAATTGCTTTGGCAAGAGCTTCCACAGCTCTACTGCCTTTTTTGTGAAAAATCATCTCTTTCTGAATTGGGCCTCTACTAGCTTCATATCTTATTCCCTGGTGTTGGAAGAGTTAGTATTCAATCCCTAGCTGCCTGCTACATGCTAAACTAGATTCTGTGAACCTTGCTAATACCCTTACTGAACAGTCTTAGTTTAACGGTGGGAATAGCTTCCATATACAGAATGGTCATCATTGATTATCCTTGTTGCCTTTCGCTGTACCTTTTCCATTTCTATTGCAGAGGAATGGATTAGATGCAAAACAGAGACCATCACTATACCATTGCATAAATCTGTTATGTTTTCTACCCATTTCCCTAGCACTCTGTATGCTTCTGTGTGCAAACTTTCTTTTCTGCTACTGAGTAGTGAACCGATGTTTCCATGAAACTATCTGTCATAACCCCGAGATGTTTCTCCTGAGTGGTAGTGATCAGTTTGGGTTCCATCACTGTATATGTGAAGTTTAAAATTGGTTTTCTCATCCGTATTGCTTTGCACTTATCTACTTGAAATATCACTTGCCATTTTATCATCCAGTCATTCAGTCTCTGTAGTTTCTCATAGTGCCCTTGTTGGTACCACCTTGAATAACTTTGAATCACCAGCAAATATTCTCACTGCACTCTTCATGTCCTTTTCCAGATCATTTATGAATATGAGTATATTCAACAGCATATGCCCCAGCACAGGCTCTTGAGGAACTGCAGTGTGACCGCCTCTTGCAAGAATGGAATGTCTTCTCCTACTAATTCCTATTTTTAGCCAAATGTTTATCCGTGTGAGGACTTTCCTGTACCATGACTGCTTATGGTTCATGTCATGGCTGCTTACCTTACCTGTAATTTCAACAGCTTATGGGTATGCGTAAGAACCCCTTAGAGAAGGGACTTCATCTTCTTTCATATATAACATACACTGTGGACTGCAGTATAAACACATCATAAATAATTATGTTGTAATAAAGTCTTTAATTCTTCTGACTGGAATGTAATATGGTATGGCTATTGATCCTCAAATCGGTCACTGTTTGTAATAGGTGGAATTATTAGTAATTTGGTAGAATTCCATGTAGAGGTTCTGCTGGCAGACTGAGTAATGACTGACATATCAGTGTTAGCTCACCAGAACCTCCAGATGGAGTTTCCTGTGCATGTTTACGTTGTTAACAGATGTGTTTTATGTGTGCTTAAATATAGCTTATTTCTACATGGCTTAAATATAACTTATTTCTACATGTGAAATTTTTATATTTCAGAAGTGTTTTATACCTATGAAAAATGGGCAGGAAGATTGTTATGCATCAGCAGTGCTCTCCAAGCGCCAACTTCATTTCAGGGGAAGTCCTCTGAATTTCCCATACGTTCCTATTATTTTTAAGAGTAATTTAGTAGATTTTTATGAATAAAGGCAAATGTTTAGAAAAATTTCCACTTATTAGATGGGCTTTTCTCTTCCCGATGTAACTCAGGTGTGATGGCTTTGCTGAGACCTCTTTTGCTGGATGTGGTCCCAACTATTCAACAGACTGCTGCTTTGGCTCTTGGGAGACTTGCCAATTATAATGATGACCTGGCAGAGGCAGTAGTGAAGGGAGACATTCTTCCTCAACTTGTGTGCTCGTTGTCTGAGCAGAATGTAAGGCATCATATTTCTTAAGTAATATTTTTTTTAACATGGGGAAGGGGAAATCTTTCCATATCAGCTATCTGCTATTATTCCTAATGCTGCAATAAATGTACGGAAGTCAGAGACAACATGTATGTTTGAACTTTTGAAAGATCAGTTTGTATTGTGTGCATGAATTTGACTTTAAAATATTGTTTTACCTCTTAGCTCTTTGTATGAAAAATATCCATGGCACTATTGTTTTCAAAATGTTGAGTGATACTTTATAAAAGGCCCCTCTTTAAAAATGAGATAAATTGAAAGTAGTGGTGGCAATTGAATAGGATTTGTCATTAATACCAAACGCTTGTAAAATACATATAAACTGTACTTCTGCCTCTGAATATTTAATATCTCCAAACTCCAAACATAGCCATTTGTGAATCTGTAGCATAAAAATATCAAACTACTAACACAGGAAAATACACTGAAATGTTCTGATCTTCATGTTTGTCCAAAAAAAAAAAGAGAGAAATGTAATCCAGTGCAGATAAATCTGATGGTCTCTGTTTCTCCCTTCTTGCCATTTTTCTTCAGTTTTTGCGTATATTCTAGTGTTTGGTTCCTAACCTAGATTAACAGAAATGCTTTTAAATACTGTTCCTAATGACTGGAAAAAGAAAGAAAGCTGAGAGTTAAATGTATTGAAATCACAGTCATACCTGGCTTGTATTTTTGATTTATTAGATTTAGGAAAAGTAGAATTTCAATAGAAATATAGCTTGTAAACTATATGTTTTCATTTCAGTCTTTTGAGAAAACCATAAATGTAAGTACTCATTGCATGTTTTTGTTGTTGCATATCTGACCAATGCCTATACGGTTAATTTTAAAAATGTATCAAAGAAAAGCATTAATGTCAAGATACTGGTATAGTAGGGATTAGAAAATTAAGGTTTCAGCAAGACAAATTTATAACCCTTTTGGTTAATTTATTTGTATTTTAAAGGGAGGAGGGGAACAAAAGTCTTTATCCTCTATTTTTTATTTGAGGAAAAAATCCTCCAACAACTGAGCCCTTGCTAAGTTTGTCTGAGTACCCTGATTTATCTCTTCCATGTTACTGCCTGTGCTGTCATTACATCTGTGAGATGGTTGTGATTCAGAATCACTTGGGGCAGCAGCAAGATTAGTGTGAGGTCATGGAAGGCCTCCTATGCCTTGGTGACTGAGGGCAGGCGAAGGAAACTCATTATCCAGTTCATGCAGAGTTTAGCAATGCATGCAGTTTGTTACTTCCCATAGGCCAAAAAAAAAAAAAAGACACATTTCCATTCCACTCGCTTCTCGTGTATCAACATCTATACTTAAGGGGCAGATTCTCTGAGCACACAATAAATACTGATTCCACTGATCTGTGGAGAATAGTTACAGGGTCACATCCTGGCTCAATTGTTTGTCAATTAAACTGAGCAAAATACATAGCTTTATAATGCATTCTAACTATGCCTATGAATATGACTTGTTTGTAAATAAATGTGTTTGAATAATAACAAAAACCCTGCAGTATTTTTCTTTGCTCAGAGCGTAATTACTAAATGGGAATAACATACTCATATTTGCAGAGACATAGACTGGTGTAAACTGTCATAGCTTCACTAAATTCAGCAAAACTTGTGGTAATTTACACTAGGTAGTAGTAGGTACCCCTTTGTCTGTTCTGTTTCCCCAGCTAATGTTCCCCCTAAATAACGTTTAATATTTTGCTTGTAAATTATATATTAGCTTGTAGAACTTCGATTTTTGGTGTTAAGAAATTACGTCTATACTGGTAAACTAAGCAGGACCATGGCATAGACTCGAGTGCTGGAACATGACTGCGCCCTTAAATTGTTAACGTGCTTCCTGACGTGGTTTTGGCCCATGCTCACCAGCAAGCTAGCAAACTCCCAGGCAATGCCTAGTTATTGTTTAGGGGACAGCGTGGGTCAGGGACAGTTGCCAGTAGCATAGATGTATAGATGAAACCACCGTGCTTTGGGAGTAGTTTGGCTGTATAGACATGGTGTGCTGGGCCACTGCCCTTCAGGGCTGGAGAATGAGCCTGGGTCCATTTAACTTTGCAGATACCTCTCTATTGCCACATCTCCTTGCTTTCAGGCCAGCTTTTCAAGGGTGTTTGTGCATCTTCAGGATGCACCAAAGCACTCGTGGTTCTTTGTTTCTCTGGACTTGATCCAAAAGGAATGTGGTCTTTACAATATTTAAGTGTATATATTATGGGTAATATTACAGTGTAATATTTAGGTACCTTGGCAGTAGGTATATAGCACCATAAAGTTCCCAAGCTCCCTGTAGAGAGCAGAGGACAATCAAGTGTCTTGGAATGGGATTAAAACTGGCCACCACAAAGAGGGGCAGCCTTCTGGAGCGAGGCCACAGGGCTGGTCTGTCAACTGCCAGGCCACAGAGTATATTCTGGGCACATGGTCATGGCAGTAAATTATTTGTGGCCCAGTGAATTTTGCACACGTTGCTGCATGATGGCTTAAAGAGGGAGTTGAGCTGTCTTTCCTCAACACAGTTGTCTGTGGCCAGAGTGCTTTGCTTGGGGTCTGAGTTTTGAAACTTTAGGGCAGGGGAGGAAATCTAACCTTCATCTTCTGCATCCCAATGATGGCTAGAAAACTGCTGAAAGAGAATGTGAAATGTGAATTTTTGGGGAAAGCTTTTTTAATTATGCTTTTCAAATAAGCCACAGCCACCCAGGCAGTTTACATGGAACCCCATGAAGTGTGCAGCACAATACACTGCGTATATGCTGAAAGCACGTGTTTGGTCCAGCACTGGGGCAAATTGGTAGGAGCAACTAGACGTGTGCTTGGATCTTGCTTGAACGTGTGCATGCAGAGGTGCCAGGCTGCTCAGTGCTGTCAGAAAGGAGCTGGCTTTGGATACGTGCGGGAGCAGAACTGCAGGTTGCCTGATCAGAAGCGAGGAGTGTCCAGTGTTGGGTGTCCAGTAGGCTAGGTTTTCAGGATCTCAGCTGTGGACTTAGGCACCATTTAAGCATATCAGGATTCAAATTTTAAACCCTTTTTGTTGGATCTGATTCTCTGTGTTTATTTCCTGTTTGCAAATGTAAACAATGTTTTCTCATAGGGGTGATATGATATGAGTCTATATACATTAGAAATTGTGAAGCCTTGTGAATGTCACAGATGGGTAGAATTATTCTAGGCGTTTGCCCTGCATAACCTGTGTAATCTAGTTAGATATGCTAAGAGGTATTGTTTTTGCAGCTCTTATCACTCACTACTCACTTAAGCAAACAGATTTATCTAGATTATTATCTTTTCCCCATATCCTCTTAGCCCTCTCATTTTTTCTGTTTGTTTATGCACTTACTACAAATTTTAGATCATGAGCTGTTTCAGTCAAGGGCTGTAGGTTCATTTTTTTGTGTGATGTCTAGTGATTCTGATTTGGATCTGTATGAGATATTGCTACTACTAACAGTCTAATTTATGCAAGTCTGTACTGTATTATGTTTTGAATTACTTAACATTAGTAAAAACATTTTTTTTTTTCTGATTTGTGTAGCGTTTCTACAAGAAAGCGGCAGCATTTGTGCTAAGAGCAGTTGGTAAACATTCTCCACAGCTAGCCCAGGCAATAGTTCAGTGTGGAGCACTGGAGACGCTTGTGATTTGTTTGGAAGATTTTGACCCTGGAGTGAAAGAAGCTGCAGCTTGGGCACTTGGTTATATTGCCCGACACAATTCAGGTAATACGTTTCATATGTATTTTCTTTCATCTTAATGCTATATTAAAGTTGTAATAAATCATGTTTTTGTAATATTCCTTGTTCAGAACAAGATGCTTTTTCTTCTGCACTGTTATGAAATTTTAAATTTGGAATAAGAAGCTGCTGTAAATTTACAAATTTGCCAGTGCCGCACCATTAGCGGGAAGATAGTATATCTGACACCAACAATGTCAGACTCTGTGGGAGATCCTCTAAGAGGAGATGCACTGGACTTGTGTCCCAGAAGTTACATTCTGGTTTATTCTGCTTCATGAAGAAATTTCAGAATCTTTATGCATTATATAACTGGTACTGTGGAACAAAGTTCTGTTTGCTCCAACGTTCATTCCGCTCATTTTAGATATATAGTAAAAGAGGGAGCTCTAGGCGAAACCAAGTGTCATCCAGTTGACAGCACTGCCTGCAACTGCTAATGTGCCAAATTCATTGCACTGCTATAGCCAGTAGACCACGTTCTTCTCTGAGAGTCAGGAATAGATCCTAGGAATCTGATACTGAGCAGCTTACTGCTGTCTCGGATAGTTATGTAACTCACTGGTCGTGTCAAGTTCCTGTTCAAAAGCTGATCCACACGGCAGATAAGTCCTTTACTAGCTACTTATATAGTTCAAGTAAAAGAGTTTTGAGCTATGAATCAAAGAATTGAGGGAAGAAGCTGCTGGATGGGAAGGGTAGTTTAAAGTTAAAATTACCCCAGGATCACACCATTAGCTGATACATTCATTTATGTTTGGTTTTGGTTTTAAAATATACTTAGACTGGATTTGGAAGTGATTTTTTTTTTTTTTTCTTAAAGCTATGTGAAGTGCTGGACCGTAGAAGGTATGGGGGTTTCCCCTTCCCACTTAGAGAGAGGGGTAATTTGCCGAAACGGGCTCCAAATTTATCAACGTTTGTCCTAATGGGCTTCTTTTTTCCAGGAAACAAAACTCATTTTTGGGGCACCTCTATGTGCTAAAGAACTTTTTACCTTTGGGTTGTTAGGTCTGAATCCCAGCTTTAATAGAAAATAAGCGTTGCTTCCACCTGAAGGATATTTGTTTAAGCGTCATTTGAAAGTGTTCACTTGTATAAATGTATATAGTGCAAGTAAGTGTCTATGTTACTCTTAACATAAACAGTTCTGTAGTTTTGTTATATCAGTAAATCAATATTGACTTGCCTTAATTGCCCTTTATGCTATTCATTGCCTGAATGCTGCCTGGCTGGCTGGGATCTGGTGATCCAGTTCACTCTGTAATAGCATTGTCTGCAAAGATGGAGATGACGAAAGGGTACCGAAGACAACAAACTCCTTATACAAATTGTTTTTCCATGAATGTGAACTATTTATTCACTGACAGTAAGTGGGTGTATCTCTCAGGTTAATTTACGGCAGCAACAGGAACAGCATTTTCTGAAATCAGGTTGAAATTGCAAGTGCTACCACACTGCAAGCTTCAGGGCGTAGACATCACTAGATGTAATCAGTAAAAAAAAAAATTTTTCCCCTGCTGCCCAACTACAAGTCACTTTGGGGGATTTACCTTCCTCTAAAACACAGCTACAGGAAGTCTCCAAACTGATGATTACTGGAGGTAAAGAAGGCTTATTGGGGAAAGATCACTCTGTGCATGGTATGTTTCTTGTACTCCTACATGCATGCCTCTGCAACAGGATATTGTTGGAGATGGGATACAAAGATAGATGGACCTGTTCTTATCAACATCTGGTGTTTACTGTTGAAGAAACTCTGGATTAGACTTGCATGCTTGTGTTGATATAGTGTGGCGGTTATGATTTTCTCTCATTGACTGTCTGTGGATACATATTGCAGCTTAAACCCTAAAAATAAGAGTTGGGTGTGAAATAGTTTCCCACACCTACAAAAGTTTTTTCATTTTCAAAAATTGTTTCTGTTCCAAACTGGGACAAGATTAAGATAAGATTTTTTTTTTTTTTTTTTGCTCCCTCCTAAAAAACAGTGTGTGTGGGGGATGTTGCTGCTTTGCCAGTTCAATGATTAGGACACTTGCCTGGGATACTGGAGACAGATTAAAGTCCCAATCTGTTTTAGGCAGGATGTGAACCTCTGTCTCCTTGAAGGCAAGCAAAGGCTGAGAGCACTAGGCAGTAACTGTTCTGCAATGGGAGGATCTCTCTTTGCTTTTTGTCAGAAATTCCATCCATGACCTACTAAAGCTGCTCTCTGAGATCTGTGATGTACGTTCCTATTAAAATACTTCCATTGTGAGAAATTGTGATTTTTTTTTTTTCCCCTAATGAATATTTTCTGGTTAGAAAATGCCATACTATTTTCATACTGGAAGCACTCAAAATGCAGTTCTTCTTTGAATAGATGTCTGTAGAAATCGTTGGATTCCTGTGAGATTTTAGGTCAAGATAGAGGTCTCATGAGATTACAAGACATTAGAAATCCTGCCAGGTCAGATTCCAGAATTTAGCAATAGCTCGTGCAGTTATGTTGCTCATTTGCAGGTCCCCTTGAGTTGAAGCTCAGACACTGATTAACTCCAGCATATACAGATCAGTGTGCTGTAATTTTGCGATTCATCATTTCTGCTATATATAAATGTTTGAAAAGAAGTGCAAAGTGTTTGAAATACCATTAAGTCTGTGAAAATTATTTTATAAACTTTTGCTGATACTGTATTCAGTGAGGGGTTTAAAGTGCAGAGCTCTCAGGTTTGAGAGGCATGCAAATAACATATCTTTCCATTTGCTTTGCCTATGTAAAGTGTATAATTTATTCATGCTGTCTTACCTGCTACAGCATATTGCAAAAAGGTAGGAAAACAAAAATAAACAATGCTGTATTTGCTTACACTCAAACAAGTTGCTGAGAGAGGAGTTATACTGATTTTCTGTCATACTGTTGCCCTTGGGATCATGGGATAATTCAGGAAGGGACTTCAGGAGGTCTCTAGTCCAGCCTCCTGCTCAAAGCAGGGTCAGCCACAAGGTCAGACCAGGTTGCTCAGATCGTCAATGATCTGAGTCTAGTTATTTTGTCCTATTCAAGGATCTAAACTTGCCTCCATAATTAATGACCTTCATCCCTCTACTGAGGAAAGGATTTTTTTCCACTGGTTTCAATGTAATCTTTAGTACTGTGCTGGTACTGGCCTGCATAAAACTCTGATTTTGAAGTGATGGTGGTGATTGGAGTCTTCATACGATTACACAGTCCTCAGAAAAATATAGTGTTGGCGGCTTTGGTCAAAAGCTGTTATCTCCAGTGGATACACCTGCCACCCCAGCAAGGTCCCGAGGACCCTGGTTTAGATGGAAAAACGCATTTGCTTCCAAGTGGAGAAAATTTGTCTGCTAGCTGATGAGTAGCTGAATTCCCTTCCCTGGGAAGTATTTGCACGTTTACTTCCTCACCCTTGTCTTTGCTTCCCAAACTTTTTTTTTAATTCATCCTATTATGCTAGCATGAAGGGATTTTTTTCTTTAACGTTTTAGGTCACTTCAGATAAATCCTGAAAAACTTACCATTAACTTCAGAGGGAATTTAGTCAGATTGACTCCTTTTTGTTTACTTTCTGCTCTTACCGGTCAAGGAAGCATATGACTAGGCCTCAATATCCTTTGAATTAATTTCTCGGTCCCTGATGAGCACATCTGGATTGAGAAGAGCCTTCTAGTAGAACTCCTAATCAAACTGGTGACTCCTTAAGCTCCAAGGTCTATTTTTATCAGTCTTTCTCATACCTCCGTGTCAGTCTCTCTATCATATCTGCAATACCTCCCTCTGCTAGAATTCTGCTTATTTTCTTCTGGGCAAAAGCAACTAATTTGAGACAGCTTGGACTCAGAAGCCACCACATCTCTAAGCGTACGTAGAATAATACTTGTTGCTTTCTCTCATGTAGGGAGAAGTCCTACTTTATCACCGTATGGATAGAAGGTCCCTTGATTTGTACCTCAAACTGCAATCCAAAGCCCTAGGTTTTCATAACTTTCTGTGGACTTATGCAAGCTTCATAAACTAGTTTTTCTTTGCTCTCTTTCTCCTGCTTTTCAACTACTGGTCTTTGTCCAGATTCACAGACCTGGCATAGTGGAGCAAGTCACAAAAAAGACTTTTTTGAACACCTCATTTGATTTCTTTGACTAACTTTTTTTTTTTTTAAATTTCTACTGGAAAAATATAATTTCTCCTTTAACTCATTCTCAGCCTGCATTTTTTTTCCACGCGTCTGTATTCTGTAAGTGAGTAGCAAAGTTTGGTAAGTACTTTTGGTGTATAGTTAGAATTAGATTAGAATTAGAACATTAGACATTAGAAATAGACATTCTACCAACTGGGAAGGTCAATTGAGTGTCTTCTTGAGGGGGAAAAAAAATTCAATTATCATAGAATCATTAATTCTTAGAATCATAATTTTGGGCTGAGTTTGTGGCAGGGAGGGATGGGAAGATATATATTTTCTTTTGTCCCTGCCTCAGCTTTCCTGTTTTTCTGTCAGCCCATTTACTACTTGTCTGTCTTTTGACACATGATCCAAGCCTATGTGTGGTAAGTTATTAGCCGTGCATCTTAAACATCACTGGAAGAACAAACATTTAATTAAACATGACCAACAGTCACCACCAGCATTTATATGATATTAGACTTTTAAGAGGTGATTTAAATTGAATCAGATTTAGTTTGCCCTTTAAAAATATTTTGTATTGATATTTTTACATGCCTAGGTTTAGCTGTGACCTTAAGGTGTTGCTCTTTCTCTTGCTACTTGCCCTTCATGATCTCAGTTGATAAGGAATTTGAGAGACCCATTCTTCTAGTACAATCTTGTACCTCTTGACATCAGTTTCCTGATATTAGCGTTTCCTTGGCAGACTATAGGCAATTGCAGTGGTTGCTTTGAAGTTACCCATGAGACGCGTTCCATAACTGGATACTCAGATGGACTATCCATTGTTATAATTTTTCATATCCTCCAGCTGACCTTTGGTCAGTAGTTAATTATGTATTTCTCTCGGTCAGTGTACAGCATCAAAATACACTTTTGAAGAGACCAAGAATGTTCTTTTCCGTTTAAAATTGAATTTAGCTTATACCACTGATACTGTTTAACTTCTTGTCAGGTATATTTGCAGATATATTTTCAGGTACATTTTCTTTCAAATTTATAAAATTGCAGATACAAGGTTTTGTTGAAATCCTATGATTTGTGCGTGTTTGGAGGGTGCATGCTCTACATTTTCAGCCAGGTAGTTCTTTGAAAAGTGAACCTTGAAGGGCTATTTTTCTATTAATTTATTAAAAATTACTTCATTATTTATTAAAGATTTGTAAAGTAATATTTATATTTTGCTTAAAATATATCACATAAAATAACATACAATGTAAATATTTGACTTATTACATGTGTTAGAGTGTGTGGCTATAATTCACTAATTGAAAACAAATCTGGTCAGGAACTTCATTTGGATATTAACAGCCTAATGATGATATGGCTTTCAGATTTCATAAAAAACATTTTTAGTCTATATATATTTAATGAAGTATGCTCTATTTTTCTTAGTATTAAAATCTCTTTATTGATGAAGTATAAATCAAAAGCTAAGTTAGAGCCTTGAAATACAGTAGCCATATGTTGCCATGGTACTGTAAGTCAAGATAAATGTTAAAGATAATAATGGATATGCATAATAAGGTATAGCAAAACTGTACAAAGAACCTAATAGATTATTGAATCTTACCTCATTTTTACCACTTTTTAACATTATTTTAAAATAGCACAGATTGGCTGTAGTTCAAATTTTGCTTGTAATATCCAATAATTTCTTTTTTACAGATTGTGATTAATGCTGCACATAATGAAGAGAGCTAATGAATTTCTAATAGTGTAATATTTGTCCATGTCAGCTAATCATATGTTCAGATTTTTTTTTTTGCTCCTTTTAGTTAAGGTGCAGATAGTTAAGGATATTGTACTAATCTCAGACATACAATATCCCACTGATGATGTTTCTCATTTGTCTAAGCATGCATGATAACATCTTCATGTCATTAAGGTATAGATTCTGTCTTTTTCCATGCATGGTAGCAAAGCCTAGTTTTGGTCAACAAGCTCAATTTTTCCAATCTTTTATGTAAGAGATATCTTTTATGTATGTTTTTTGTATTTCTGTTTTTGGCATTTGATCTATGCTAATATCTGCTTATCATTTGAAGAGGGTAAAATGCTCTCTAATTAGGTGGTTGGTAAAATTTTGGTACTTTGGCTTTCTCTGTTGTTGTTAGCCATGCATAAAATGCTTTCCTATTGATCAGTGTAGAATAGCCAGGGTTTAAACAGCTGACATCTGCTTACTTTTAAAAAAAGAAAAAGAAAACAGAATAACAAACCATTTCAGCCTAATCTACCTCAAATGTGTGCATGTAAATGGGGGTCCATCTATTGACCTGCATTCTTTTCAGTTGTGGATTGGTCCACACGGTTTATGAAACCAGGAGGGCTGATTTGAAATGCAGATGTCGAGACAGTGAACTACACCCTCCCCTTTTTCCTTTGCTGTATCTGTCAGGGTGAAAAATGGCTTGCACAAGGGTCAGTCACCCATACTCACTTAATTACTTTCCTTGGACCTACAGAACTGTCACAAGCTGTGGTGGATGCAGGAGCTGTTCCTCTTTTAGTGCTCTGTATCCAGGAGCCAGAAATTGCTTTGAAAAGGATTGCTGCTTCGACTCTCAGTGATATTTCAAAGCATTCTCCAGAGTTAGCACAGACAGTAGTGGATGCAGGAGCTATCGCTCACTTAGCTCAGATGATCCTGAACCCTGATGCTAAACTGAAGGTACATTTCAAAATTATTTTTTGTCTCAATTATACCAGTCGTTACTTGATACTGAATCAAAGACACTTATATGCATATTTATTTAGAAAGCTCTTGTTTCAGACATTACTGAAATGTAACTACACAATTAGTGACAAAGAGTTCTGGACATATTCACGGTTAGCTATGGGATAAAAACTGCCGCTCCGTAAGGAGCAACTAACCTAATCTTTAAAGTGAATAGTATAAATTTTTTTAGAATTATGTAGTACCATGTGAAGATTGCAGTCTGATGCATAAAAACCTGTCCTTTAATATTATCTAACAGATATTTCAAATAGATGTAATTTGCACAATCCATGAAAATGGGTTTTACAAACTTGAGATTATACTATAAAACAGTTAACATTAAATGTGTTGCTATGATTTAGAATGCACTGTCTGATGTGAATAGCTCTTGAAGATTTTAGCACTAGTTTAACTGACAAAATATTTGTTTCTTAATATATATTTTTTCCTGTCTTACTCTAACAGAAACAGATGACAACATAAGAATACCACTTCTAAAAAGTAGATAAAAATTCTTTAATATGAGGTCTGATGGGTCAGATTTATGCTATGCAACTAAGTGTAATTTTAGTAGGTTTCTCTAAATTCTTTTAAATCATAATTTTAAATGGTGTATAATTTTTTTTTATTACATAGCAAGCTTGAATGGGATAAAACAAAGGAGAAACTTTTATTCAGGAACCAGTGAATGTTCTATGCCATTATATTCGTGCATGAATTGACTCAGTGAGTTGTAAAATAGCTGTAATTGTTTTCCCTATCCTGCTTTGTTTTCCTTGATGCCATAGATTCTTGTATGCAGGAGGAGTGTGTGTTGCAGGCTGTTCGTATGATGCTCATTTTATAACAATTTTTATTTACTAGCGTCAGGTGCTGTCAGCTCTAAGTCAAATAGCAAAACATTCAGTGGATCTTGCAGAGTTGGTGGTTGAAGCAGAAATTTTCCCAGTTGTGCTCACATGCCTGAAGGACTCAGATGAATATGTCAAGAAAAATGGTGCAACTTTAATTAGAGAGATAGCAAAGCATACGCCTGAGGTAAAACCTTGAAAATGCAAATACAAGGTCATATCATTAGATGCTATACTTTAAATAAAATACAGGAATATTTTGTCATTTAGCTATTTGCCCTTCCTTTCAAAAAGCAATTTGGCTTATTTACTGGAAAAAGGTGGAAATGCTTGCTGATGTATGAGATATATGAATGGGGTTAGGGAATTGGGAATCATGTAACACATACCTGGATATTTCATTCTATCAGATATTAGTGCAGAGAAGAAGTTTTAGACTGACAGTACTGTCAGCTGTAGACATTTTAAAAAATCGTAAGTTAAGCCTCACAGAAATCCTGATACTGGCTTACAGATCGCAAGAACATGCTGTAACAATAATACGTGGTGTGTGTCCCTCTTTTAATATTTTGGGCTGCAGGGTCATATCTTCATTATTTTTTCAATGACAAGAAAGGTCAAAAATTCACTTTATTATTAAACTGGTGGTATTTCTTGTATTAGCTTGATTCTGTGATCTGGGTCCCAGCATTTGCATCTTTTTGCCAATAAGAGATGTGGGAAGGGGGCATATTTGCTAAAGTGAATACAAACTAAACAGGAAAAACTTAGATTCACACAGTTGTAATTATTTGTCAGACTGTAGAATCAATTAAAAGGCTCTAAATGAGACTCTGAAATGAAATAAAACAATGTAATATAGTAGAACACACTAATGCTGAACATAGCCCTTCCAAAATCATACTTCTAGCTTAACAGTTGAGAAGTGTTTAAGCATGAAGATTGTGCTGCTGTTTCTTCAGCCTGTTGGTTATTAAGCTATTGGTTATTAAAGGTTGCTCTCTTGTTACTTTCTCTCTGCATCTCACAATGGGGGAAACCTGACTTTCTCAAACAAGTGATGAGATGATGATTATCAAAGGCAAGCAACAGCATTAGAAGCTAGACGCTGAACTCACGAGGCTCTAGATAGAGTCACAAGAGGGTACTCGCACGGGATCCTCTGTGCAAGTGGAACGGCTGCTTTCGCAGCTCCCTAAGGAGCTGCAGAAAGCATCTGGGTGACTCTCTGTGGAAGGTCCCAGTCCACGTTGTCGACTTCAGAATGCGAGTGAGCCCTGCGCCTCTCGAGACAGCTCTGCTGGAGTAACACATGTTACAGCAGAGACAATATTTGCACAGTAGTTGGCTGTGTCTGGCCTGTAACATTCTGGCTTTTGGGTCTCTGCTGTCTGGCTGCACAGGCAGTAAAATGCGTGTGAAGGTCAGGATCTGGGAGACTTGTAGAGAGGTGTGAGGCTCACAGCAGCAGGGACTGCATCCGTGCTGGAGCTCTGTGTACTGAAGTGCACATGGCTGTGCGCAGACATGGGACTTGGCCCTCAGCAGCTGCAGTTGGCAGTCATGTGAACTGTGCTTCCTAAGTAATAGCTTTACATTTCATCTAGCTGTTTCATGAATAAAACAATCCTGTTTTAATGGCTTCAAGGCTACAGTGGATTTCATGTTTATAGAAGTCAACTGGATTGGAACTCCAAATGGCTAAGTTTTGTGCATTTAGTTCTAACTTTTAAGAATATGTTTCTTTTGCTTTGGAAACTTTGTAAAAACATGATTTTACCTGCAATATACCAGGAAATGATCACAATATGAAATCATGTTAATTTCTATATATTATTGATATCATATATACTCTACTGCTGACCCTCAAGTGATGTGAGAAGTGATGCCATTTAGAAAAAAAAAAAGCTTTAGAAAAAAACGGAGCTTTATCTATACAGTAGGCATCAGACTGTAGATCTGATGATCATTTATAGCAAGGCTATAATTTGACATTCTAGGACAAGCTCCATTGCCTATCAAGCATGTTCCCTGGACACCTTTTTTAGGGCGCTATAACATGGCAGAAGGGTGTAGTCCCAGCTGATTTTGAGCAGCCGTGACAGTTGTTTTTGGCTTCATGCCTCAGTGGGGGAACCCACAAGAGCTATTAGGCAGCAGCAGAGGTTATCCAGAGTGCAGGTGACAGAAGAAATGGGCCTTTACCTCTGTCCCTGCACTGTTCATCTGCTGTTTGCTCAGAAAATAGTGGGCGCTAGTATAAAAGAATATGTGGCTCAGTAGGCACGTCTTTAAAGTCGTTCATGTATTACGCTTTCATTGCATGATTCTTTGGTGTATGCTAATGGAGTTGAGAATATGTCATTCCATGCTATTTGACATCAGGAATTCAGAATCCTGATTTCCTTGCTATAAAGTCAGTCGCAAACAGTGTAGCGAAACAGTTTCATTGCTGTGAATTTCATGGTGCAGTCAGTGCCCAACAATTGGTGTGGTGCATCAGTCTTATTCCAGTTCTATTTTGTAAATCAGGAGTGATACAGTTAAAGACTCCTCTAATGTAGTGCTTTATGCCTGTAGATACTTCACAGTATCTAATCTCTTTGATTTATCTTTTCAGCTTTCACAGCTTATAGTAAATGCAGGTGGAGTTGCTGCTGTGATTGATTGTATTGGCAGCTGCAGAGGGACTGTGAGACTGCCTGGCATCATGATGCTTGGCTATGTAGCAGCTCATTCAGAGAACCTGTCAATGGCAGTGATCATCTCCAAGGTTAGCTATCACTTTGTCTTCTTCCTATAATTCTTCAGTGGCATTCTGAGAAAGAGACACAAATGCACATAGGCAGAGCATGTATTCAGAGACGGAATTACACACTTGCTGTTAATGAATGCACTTTTAAAAAATATAGTCACTTGCCATATCTGAAAGTATGTGGTTACCTGGTCTACCAGGTAGACTTCACTACCTTATGAAGTTGAAACTTTTGTAAAATGTTGTGATGGATTAGTTTGTGGACGTCCATTTGTACTCCAGTAAATGATTTCTCTGTGTTGCAATTGACCAGGTACAGAAAATAAATGAATTGGTGAATTCCTGTGGTCTGTTTCCTCTTAAAATGAATTTTTGTGGCTACGTCAAAACCCATTTTGAAAGAAGAATGTTTAATGGCACATTTTTAATTGCACTAACATTACTATGCTAGTACTGCTAGAGTATCCTTGCAGCAGAAGTCTTCAGACTTGTAAAAATCTTGGTTTCTGAAATGTAGCATAGTTTGATTCAGTTGTGCAAGTGATATTTCAAGTGAGATAAGCTTGATGCTATACGCTTTCAGGTTTAAATGAATTCTGCTGGGCAATAATATAGAAGGGTGAGAATCTGTAGCATCTGCAATAGGTGGAATTAGTGCCTGACATAATATTCTGGTGTGAATAATGTTAACTACAAAATGGCAGGAGGAAGGAAGTAGTTTCACTGGGCATTGTCGGCCCATTCCTACGCTGTCAGTCATTTTAAATTTACTGTCTGAATGGAAACAATGAAACAATAAAAACTGAGGAACAGAAATGTCTTCTAATAGAAATACAAGGTAAAAAAAGGAAATTGGTACAACATAACATTCATAATTATGCACAAAGGGTAGAATTGTTCAAAAATAGTTCTCTTCTGCATTTGAAAAGCTGAAGAGAGACGCTTCTGGCTCACCCTTCTCTGGAGGCCCCTCTTCTCTGGAGGTGTTTGTGTCTCTCCACTAGCAATAGATAGGGATGCCTAGAGCAAATATGCTTCTGCTGTTAAGTGCTTCGAGTTACATGGAATGAATCTAGGCTTAAGCTGATAAGGAAGCACCTAACTGACAAAATTTGAAGAGTATTAATGGTTGCAGCCAGAACTGAATGGAAGTGCGGTGAGCGATTTGTAGGCCTGCATGCAAACCCTCATTACACTAAAGATTTTCATGAATGATCCCCTAAATCCCCCAAACCAACCCAAATCCCAGTTTTAAAGATTTTTTTTCCAGATTAAGCCAAACTTTGTGGGGTGGTATGTAATGCCGAAGGCATGGCTTGGTGAATCGGAACCATCTGAAAGGGAGCCACTTTGGTGTAACTGGATGCAGATACACATCTAAGATGATATGGTTTAAAGACATACCTGATATGGTGTAAAGACATACTGAAGGACTGTATCTTAGAAAGGATGAATTCAGAAGAATGGTTTTTGGGGTCAAAATGGACAAACGCTTCAGTGTAGTCTTCTGCTGCAGTGCTGTGGCAAAAAGGACAGTTCAGTCCTTTGATGTGTTAAAGAGTGGAAGATGGACCGTTACTGGAAGAGAGAGGTTAATCTATCTGCACTACTAGTGATACCACACAGGAATACTGCATATAGTTCTCTTGTCTGCATTTGAAAAGAATCTTGAAGAGGGTGCAGAGAAGACTCAAAAATGATTCAGGGGGTGAAAAAGGTCTTCTACAGTTACTATACCTAAAGTATTGTGAAAGGACTGCTGTTTAAGTACTTCCTGGTCATAAAATACCAGTGACTGAATGGCTCCATAATCTTGTGGAGAAAGGATAAAGACTGTGACATGGAACCAGAAGAACTTCAGTTACAGCTGGATGGAAGTGAAGTATTCTGCATCCCTTGATGTCTTCAAATCAAGCCTTTCTGGAAGTTATTGAATGAGCTAACATGAGCTGCTGGATTCAAGAAAGGGTTTATGAAGTGAAATTTAGTGCTGTGGATAGTGGCACACAAAAAGTTAGATAATTTAATGATTGAGCCCTTCTGATCTTAAACTTCTTTCATGGATTCATAAGCACCAGAATTTTTGTATTTTTGGTGTGACAAAACCAAAGCCTTTACTCTTAGTACAGCCTGAATTGTGTCATCTATTCCTTGGATCCTTTAAAGTTGATGTGTTAGCTCAAACTGCCTTCTGATTTAGAGTATTGAATTTGTCTTTCAACTGTCTTTCAATCTATCTTTCAACTAGATTTGTAAAGATTATTACAAATTCTTGCTGATTGTGATGTTTAAAAAAACAATGACAGCATCAGCATCTGATGGAAATGGAGAAACATTTTCTAATGATCTATATCAGTTTAAAGTTGTTCTTCCCTGGTCTAGATTTGTAAAGGTTGTGCTTTTGATGAATACTACAGGGAATACCACCACTGTGTACCTGCTTGATAGAAGAAAATGAAGATCATATTAAGGCAGCAGCTGCTTGGGCCTTGGGACAGGTTGGAAGACATACTCCTGAGCATGCACGTGCTGTGGCAGTAGCAAATGTGTTACCTATACTGCTTTCTCTGTATATGGAAACACACAGTTCAGAAGATCTTCAAGTGAAAGCAAGTATATTCACCAATATCTGCAATATGAGATATTTATTGTAACCAACAGGTATAGGTGCTTGAAAACTGCTGAATGGTATACACTTTTATTGATGTTTGCTGAGACAAATTGCCTGGGTGGAGGGTGCTCAAGAGGTTTTCAATCATTTATTAGGCCTGGTTGGTCCTAATGCATGTGCATGTTGCCAAATCATATGACAGAGCCACAGCTGCATAGTCCCTCATTTCCTTCTTCACAGTTTAGGTCAGAGCTGCTTTCTCCCAGAAATGCTATAATTTCTCTTGATTGTCCAATTTTTAAATATGTGCCTTTTGGAGAAGTATAGTCTTTTGTACCGAGTGTTGTACTATGTTCAGATTTGTTCACATTTTTACTATCATAATAAAACAGTAACAAAAACTTAAGGTCCTGCTTTTGGAAACATAGAACTGCTCACATTTAGGGCCTTCCTAGCATAGGAATTAGTAAAGTTGGAATTTGTTGAAGTATATTTGTGTATGACAGTAAATGAACTGACTTAAGAGCATACTATGACAGGATATGGTCTCCCATATTGCTCTGTGCCCCTTTACGTTCTACTGGAGTATAATAAATTTCAGAGCTGCAAAATAAGAAGACAACTTTTGCGTAGTCATTTTCAGTGGTCACCGAAATATCAAGACTGAACCTATAAACCTACACAATTAGGTCATTACTGTTTGTAGTAGCCAGCATCATGTCTCATGTTCAGAATCTAGGCACGGCTATACAACTGCTTCTCTCTCTCTCTCTTTCTGTCTCTTCCTGGATGGCAGTGCACTGTGCTGCTATCCCAGACCAACAGGCTCTCCTAATAAGCCACTTCTAAAATACGATCTTTTAAAATGTGGTTTGATTTAGCTTTCTTATTATATTACAGTAGTTCAATTTACTTAAAGGGCCTGCTCCTGCTTCCATTGTAGTAAAAGGAAAATTGCCATTACTTTGACTGTAGATAACATAATAAGTATACAATGCACTGTAGGTTTTGAGGCTTAATAAATCTAAGTAGAAAATTGATTCTTCATTAAGTAACCTGATGGTTATCATAGTTTTTATTCAGAAAATGCTCTTTGAGAATTCTGATCAATTTGCTTTTTTGATCAGACTTCAGTGATGTGTATCGTGATTTCTTGTTGTTGTTTCACTGATGTCTTACTAGCGAAATTTTATTTTGCATTTGAATAGACTAAAAAAGCCTTAAAGAACATTCTGCAGAAGTGCACATATCTTCCAGCACTTGAACCTTTGCTGCATGATGCCCCTCCCAATATTCTGAAGCATATTGTTGGGCAGTTCAGCAAGGTAAGAAAAAGCTCTACTTGATGGGTAATAGGTTAATTGTTTTCCATTTAGCAAGGAAGTTACCATTCCAACCACGAAGTGTCTCTGAAGGCAGTCTCAGCTGTTTTCTCAGGATCCTCAAGCATCCCCTTCAGAAACAGTTTGGAGCATCATGCTCTTTTGTCTGAAAAAGCTAGATACTTTTTTTATCTGGAACCTGTCATAATTCATTCTAGACAGAGGGAAAATGGTTGTTTATAAGTCAGGTGGGTTTTTTCCTGCTTGCCTCTGTGATTAAGTGGAATATTAACTCTCGTGCAAATAATTTTGCTGAGTCAATGTATCACATAGACCCGAGTCACATTTGTTTTAGAAAAAAATGCAAGTGGTCTGTACAGGAGTGACTTAAATCAGGTATTTTATAATAATGTAGAGTAAAGGCTTTCCTATTTCTGTCCTTACTAATTTTCAATCCCAATAACTAAGGAAGTCCAAGAATATGAAATCTTTTCTCATCCCTATCAAATTTGAAACCATTTATTATTAAGTAAATTGCTGATTTGAGTGCAGCATGTAGAAAGTGATACAATTTAATCAAAGTATTTCAAATTATAAAAGTAATTACTGACTAATCAGGAGATTTCCAATGTCTGTTATGTTTACCAGCTGTTGGGAATCCTGCTCAACTATAGACCTTTCTTTAGTGAAATACTGCATGGTATAATCCATTAGCAGGGTGTACAAGACCCTCTTGGTGAGGTGTTCTTTCTGGAAATGGCCGGATGAAACGCTCTAGATATTATTCAGTTCTGATTGCCACGGATCTGGAAGCAATACTGTTTATATTCCTAACTAGATTGCTACAGTTAGGTTTGTCTGGTCTTCTTGCTAAGTCTGTACAAAGAAATTTGTCCAGAATCCATTGCATTTTGCTTCTGTGTCCTGACTGGAGCTATTAATGAGTTGAGTGCATAGTAATTGGTTACCCAGGGTATAGATTTGAGTGTCATTCACTGTTGAAGTGGTTTTGCACCCTTCATATTAGCTGATGTTTGTTTATTTTCATTTTTCTTCTCTTCCTACATTGAATTAAACAAGCTATGCTTGCCTGGTATTTGCGGTTCTAAGGTATACATTTAAAATTAAGTTCTTTGCAGCAAAAGCCTTTGTATCTCCTGCACCATAACTTAGAAATTTCCTGTTCTTACACCTGAGGAGTGTTGCTTTTGCCAGCTTATTTATAGCACAGTAAAAGCATTATTTTCTGAGCTGTCTTTCAGAGTGGGAAGCTCTCTGTTCTCGGTGCTGCACTGTATCATTTACGCGTTACTCTTCTCAGGGTCTTTGCAGAGCTCTGCTGTCTTAGTTCAGACTAGCAGAAGGGATTGTGTCTCAGAGGTGCTGTCTATCTTTAGGACCTCTTCCAAGAGAATTTTCTACTCTCTTACCCAGAGAGCGGCCTAGGAGTCCCAGTGTGGAGGAGGAAGGCAGGGGAAGTGCTGTGTCCTGTCTCACTGCTAGTCCCTCCTTGGCAGCTCTTGCTGTGGGAGCCAGTTTTCCAGTTCCCCGCATGAAAGGATCTCAGTTGTTCTGACCCTTGTGTGGAGCATGCCACAGGGAGAGGGCTCGGTGCTCCCCTGTTTTTCTTTGCCTGCTTGTTGATTTTCTACAGCGTAGAGGGACCAGAGAAATTAAGGCTGTTGGCCGATATACATGACAGAAATCTCATCCTTCTCTTCCTCTATCCTTTTAGGCAGTCCTGTCAACCTTGAAGGCTCTGTTTTATGCAGAGATACACTCAAATTTATGGTTTCATTTGTCCAGCTTGTTTGAATGCTTACAAAATGTTTTTGCCTACATAGTATGTAGCTCACAGAGTTGGTTTTAAACCCATTTGTGGTTTTGTTGACATTTTGCATTTTTTTTTAATATTATTACAGCCCTGTGGGCCTATGGACTACATGTTGTCATTCTTCCTTGCCTGGCCCAGCCCCTGCCTCCCTCTCCTCTGTCCTCTGGACAAAACTGCGTGTTGGCATCACTCCGGGAGTGCAGAATGTATTGTTTGATCGTTTCTGCTTCTCATCCCCTTTGGCTGCAGAAACTCAACATTTTTGCTTTGTGTGTGTGTATGTGTGTGTTTGTAAAAGGCTTCCATGACTACACAGTGTGCTGTGTGATTTTAATATCTAGGAATTTAATAGTAACATGTAATGCCTCAAGGCTGCATTGTTCACTTGCAAGAATTCTCAGTATTGTTTCCATGCAATAATCTATACTAGATCATTATAATGATATAAAATTCCGCTCTACAATTAAATTGTGGGAATTGACATAAAACACATGAATAACTTGGTTTAAGTGGAACAGATGCTGTTGTTATTCCATGTTAGTATTCTGTTTCCATTATATATTTAATCTCCACAACCATATTGTCTCTGTAGGAATAATTTAAGAAATACTATTTACATAAAGATAAATATTCAATATTTTTATATATGTTATGTTTTAAAGTACATGTTAAATTATGCTACAATCATAAAGGGCTGGTTTATGATTTCATTTTTCCTGTCCAACTGCATGTTAAAATATAGTAGTCGTTACAGAAGTTGCACCTCTGATGTGTTCCATTTTATCCATCCTCTGAATTAAAAACAAATAAACAATATTTGAGTCTAGTAGAACAAAGATTCCTTTTAAAAAAATCATGTTTTTATTATGTACTTTTTTGTGTATAGGTGCTGCCACATGACAGCAAAGCGCGTCGTCTCTTTGTAACAACTGGTGGTCTGAAAAAGGTTCAAGAAATAAAAGCAGAGCCTGGGTCACTTCTTCAGGAGTACATCAACACTATTAACAATTGCTATCCAGAGGAAATAGTAAGGTATGGAAAATCTAAGCAATTCATATTTAACATTGTTAGATGTTCTTCACAGGAACAACAGAAAGCAAGGATTTAAAATACTAGTTTAACTCCCATGTGGATTTTGTTCTTATTAAACGGCATAACCTTTGGTTAGCTGCCTCACTAGTAATTGCAGCGGTAACAGCAAAAGTTAGATATGTACTTTTGAACACTTTCTCTTTTTTAATTGTTTTGGGGATCAAATTTCTTTGTCTCTAAACAAAACCCAAATAATCAGGCTCTTGCAGGGAGCTGGGAAGTCAGTCCCACTCTGTCCAGACAAACTGTGAGGCTTCAGCCCAATCTCGCTGATAGCTGTGAATATCTGGGGGAAGCTTACTTTGTCGCAGTACCTTATCTGTGGGTGTCTCAGGCCACAAAATACAGGTACTAGTGGATCTTTGGTTGCATCCTTGACCTCCCTAAGAGCCTGTATGAACTAGTGTTTCGGAGGCTCCTTTGAAACTTCTGCTGCTGTACAGAGGGTCCAGGGGCTCTGCTGCGCGGTTGCTCTGCCCCCAGCTGCCCTTCCTCCCCCCACCCTCAGCCTCATCATGAGGCTTAAGTGTTATACAAAAGGACCATACACCAGCTGTCTGCACCAAGGTGAACTTTGCCCTTAATGAATACAGAAACACTATTAAATAGCTTACAGTCAAAATGTCACCATCCTAAATTGTAATAATGAGAGAAATGTCCTCCTGGATTCTAGATATCTATTTACCAGTCCTTCCTTCCATCAACACATCAAAAGGATGTTGTACTCTTGCACTCCCTCTACAGGCTCTGAAAATCTACATTATCATTTCTAATTATAGCAACAGAGTTCTTTCAGCTAATAGTAGCTACAAACTAAATGACGCAAAATGAAGCCCTGTTTGTCTCCACAAGAAAAAGTCAGTCAAGGCTGTCAAATGGACAAAAGCAAAATCATAAGGGAACTTTATTCTGTAATTGTAAATATGGATACTTCTGAGGGAAAAAGGACATTTGCTTATGCTTTTCTGGATATAATTAATGTTTATCTATGTTACAAATGGGGTTTTTTTCTATAAACAAAACAAGGTTACTCAAGTAGCCTGTGATGTAATAAAAAAGGCCCCTTCAAGCCTCTCCTGCTTGCCTCTTTGTGCAGTAGAATGATGCTGGTTCTGCTGCCTGAGGCACAGCTGCTGTAATAAACACCAGCTCTGGATTTGTCCTGGAGAGATGTTATTTCAGGCTGTTTGCAGACTCAAGATGATAACAATGCATTGAAAAGTTAGCTTTACAGTCGGAGAACTAATAGTAGTTTTAAAAAGAATTACATTATGCAGGAATCATAATCATCCAGAAAATGAAAATTATGCAAGGAGAATGGATCTTCCTTAATGTGAAAACATTGGGGATTTCTGCTTAAATACGTTTGGCGTGCATTGCATGGAAGTGTGTTCCTCTGTCCTTATAGTTAAAGCTCCCAGGGTTCAAAGATGACGACTTACATGCCTGCAAAACCAGAAATATGCTGTGATGTATATTTTTAGAATAAAACAGTAATAAATTTCAGATACTCTGTTTCACCTGGAAAACAAAAACTAAATACCACTTTGCTGACGCTTATGTGTTGGAAGCCTGCACCTGGTCTGTTTTGAAACCCAACTGGATGGCAGCCAGTCATTAATGGCACCATAGGGTTCTCCCCTAGAGAAAATCTATTGGATAATCTCCACAATGAGTTGGCAGTAGAGAAAGAAGATGATTTTGATAAAATTTTGTTCCAGAATCAATGTTACTTACACTGATGTGGGCTTCACATTTGTTTTTGGAATGTGTGCCTATGTTTCAAGGGCAGCGGGAAAATACTCTCCTATGGCAGCCTATGGTTCTGTGTAAACTCATGCTTTTATGTTAAAGCTCATAATTTCACAAGCAGTTAACAACTACATTTCCCAGTAACGACAATGCTGTTGTCTGCTGAGCCTATCTAAAAACTAGCCACTTATCTACGTGCCCTAAAAGAAGCTAAGCATTTTTTTGAAAACCCAACTTCTAGCTGTAAATTATAATGTAAGTTAAAAAGCAGATTCTTAAGTACTGTCAGGGAGTAAGTATAGAATTCCTTGACCAGTGTTTAATGGTAGGATTTTTCCTAATCAATAGACTTATGGACAGAGTTTCATTGCTTAGCACAGAACATGCTTTGTAGTCTAATGCACAAAAAAAATGTTTCTCTTTCAGGTATTATTCCCCTGGATATTCTGAGATTCTTCTGGAAAGGGTGGAAAATTACCACCCAGTTCTATAAAATTCAATTTTTTTATTAGAGCTGTATTTCACATTTATGCTTTTATGACTGCAATTCAAATATAACTATTGAAACTTCCTAGATTGTGAAATCTTATTCTGCTGTTTGAACCATTGAAAGAGCTCAGCACTTCCAGAAAGATATATTTTGTTCTTTGTTAAATTACTGCTGATTTTTTGTTCCTTTTGTTTTCCTCTAACTGCACTACCTTAGTGCTTAGTTCCAGTATATCTGGAATTTCATACAGGGGTGATTATTTATCACAGGAACTTTGTAGAATCAGTAGTTTCCTTTTCGTTCCATAAGAAATGTTTGTGATTGTCTAATTCAAATTTTAGCCTTCTCAGTACTTAATCCATTTTCCCCTTTTACCTTTGTGGATTGTTTAGAGCTTCCCTAGTTGATGAAAGAAAAAGCACTTTTTCCCAATTGTGGAATTCATTCTGCACTGAGGTATCTCCTATCACTACCTTTCAGAAAGTGATGGGATTTTTGCATCTTTGAGCATGTTTATAACTACAAAATAAAGAAGCAATGAGTTCTGATTGCGATAAAAAGGCCACATTGTGCACGTTACAGTGATGCTATGGTCCATGCACCTGATAGTACATCTGCAGAAGTCCCCATCATTAAGGCAGGATTCACTGTAGTGGGATGGACATGGCTGGATGTATATATCTTTATTCCTCTCGAAAGGGACAGAGTGAACTTGGGACTTCCACTGGCCCAACGGGAAGGACCCTGTGAGGTGCTGCCCCACTTGGCTCAGCAGGTCTTGCGGGGCTCAGGAAGGGCCGAGAATTGCTTAGCTGCAGGAATACTGTTAACAAAGTTCTGAGCACTTTGAGAGGAAAGCTGAGAATATGTGACTCCCTCTAAGTTGAGTGATGGGACTAAGGTTGCTCTGTACTTACTCTTCCAGAGAAGAAATTGCTGCAGAATTAAGTTCAAACACATTTGGAACTTGGACAGTTTTGAACTTGCAGACCTCATCCACCTAGAGGTTATTGGAGATATTAGCTTTTGCCTCTCTGTAGGACACTCTGGGAATATTTTTGTCCTGTTTTACAGTGTGAAAAGACTTCTACATTCTGCTTACTCCTCTGGTGTATCATAGTAGCAGGGAGCAGCATATGGCCTGTTACTATTGATTAACTAATACGGTATTGTCATTTACCTTTTTTTTTTGTTCTTTTAACCATTTTTCTTCTCTTAGTATGTGGCTTTTTTTTTTCCAAAGAGTGATTCTGGAACGGGACGTTGAAATACTGGCAACCACAGGGGAAAGATGGTATTTGAAAACCCTGCAAAGGAGAAACTTGTCTGTCTTTCTTAAACGTATTAAATGAGTAAGGTTATAAAACAGAGATAGTCTCTCCTATTACTTGTAAAACAGGAGCAAAGACTTATTGCAGTTGGAAATGATTTAAAGTGTTTTTTCTCTGCCAGATTCGAAATTACTATTTTCTTTTGTTCTCGTCTTCAACAGTTTATGAAAGCCTTGATGGGCTATCTTGCGTTACAGTTTGATTCTATAAAGGGCTGAGTTCCTGGTGTGAGGTCCTTGGTGCTCTCTAATTCTGTACAGGAGGAACAGGGGATGCCCAGTGCCTTACTGTGTGGAGTCCTAACTGAGATAGAGACTGTTGGTGTCATGAAAGCTGATAGATAAACCATACCTGCTGGATTATTCCCTTAGCCCACAACAGAATAAACTTTTGGAACTGACTAATTTCTACCAAGTGCCTTTTCTTTTTCTTTTTGGTATTTTTATTCTGACACTGTTAATGCTAGGGCATTAGTAGAAAAACATAACAATCTTTCCACTAGGCTTAATGCCCAATAAATTTTCACATAGGCATTATGGATATTTAAAGATCAAATCCTGTACAATTTCTAATAGAGAATGTAATGCAAGGGCTTCCAGAGACTCTCAAAGGATCTGAAGTCATTATTTTCCCTGAGAGAGTGGAAGTGCTGTACAGGGCTGGGGGCAGTTGTGGTGCAGATGGGAGGCAGGGTAGGGCGTATAGCTGTGTACTCACAACTGCATCATGTGCTCAGGAGCACATACTGTACCACACAGTGCTAACGTATACATTCTGTATAGAGAGAGCAAAGAGGCTACAGTCCCTTGACGTATGTGCTCCTGCTGTGTCAAACTGCGATACACTGTGAGGATTCCACAGGGTTAAATTTCAGTGCCTAAGCAATTTGTTCACAGTCTTTTCACCCTTTTTCTGACTCCTAACAAAGGAAATGATTGCAGAACGCAAACCTTCAAAGTGATCTGATTGTGCAGCACACCATCTAAATCAGACCTAGCATAAATATGTCTTTACAGCAGTTAAGCAGTTTTATCCTAGGCCAGTGGAAGCGTTTGGCCTCCTCTCGCAGGACTCTCTCTGGGAGGGTTCTACGTCCCATCAGGCGGCAGCAGTAAAGTGCAAAGTCCTCTCACCCACGCTCAGAGAGTCCCTCGGCTCTCCTTCACGGGCAGGCTGCTGCGCTGTATTGTACGTGCACCTTGTGGCTGGAGCCTTCCCTAGAGTCTACACAAGGTTGTACAGGTCTGCACAAGGCCTTATCAGTAGATTTATCACTAATTTGTATTTTAGGCTTACATTACTAGGGCAAGTGTTGCTTTTTTCATCTGTAGTGTTTCCCTAGCTTGATGTACAGTGTTCCTATCTCGTCCTCTCATTTGGCTTAAGCCATCATCTAAAACTAGACTAATGTGTGTAATTGCTACTCTTGGCAAGCTTCAAGTATGTGTCCTTTGTCTCAATTTCATAGAATAAAATATAGATTTGCATTTTAATTCATTGTGTAAATGCTGTTTTCATGCTAGTTTGTGACTGTGGGTGCTAGGGATAATGAAGAACAGACTCATTTTGGAGCTGAGCCTGACATACCTTTGGATGTCTCTCTCACCTTGCCACTCAACAGTGCCTGAATTTCTCCCTCTTAGCTCAACGGCATAGAAGAGTTTCAAGTTAAAGTCCCTCTCACAGAATTGGCTTATTAGGACACACAAACAAAAGGTAAGCCAGGGCTTTGGCCTTGAAGTAGATTTAAGCAGAGAGAGTCCTTTAATCATTTTACCAGTTCCTTTGACTCTAGTATGGGGACTTTTGCCCGCAGATCTTCTCTGAGGGCCCAAGCCATGATTTTTGTCTGTGTTACTTCGTATGTTGTTATATCTACAGGTGTAAACTAGGGCCTTGAAAAAGCATGTGGATATATAAAACTTTCCCATTCAGTGGATGGATTAACTGGCATACAAAAGCTCCTTTCTTTATCTGAGCCACCAGAAACCAAGAGGATCTGAAAAGAGGAATTCAAAGAGTTCAACTGTGACGTGTGTGATCTGTTCTGTGCTCCCAGAGGGATTTACCAAGGGGTTGCTTTGTCTCATCTGAAGCAATCAGTCTGCTGGAGACCTGCATTTTAACAAACAAACAAAATGTAGAAGCAGGTGAATTGAACTAGTGAAGGAGGAAATGCATCTCATTTTATGAAGTAAAGCATGAAGTTACTGTAATTAGGAAGTGGATGGGGTGCTTGTATATCCTCAGGGCTCCTGATTTGGTCTAGGGGGTTGTGAATTAGCTTGGCCAAAAGGAAGTCTGAGCGCTGCAGACGTGGAGGATGCCACAGGACAGCCCACAGCTTCTCGTATTAATTAGAGTCCTCTCGTTCCTGAGCATACAGAGGTGGCTGACGGCAGTCCCTTTACGTGAGGGATCTGTGAAAGTGTGCTTGCCTCTGTCTTCCTAATGGCTGCTTGGTGTCCAATATCTCGCTTGCTTCAGTTTTAGATCTCACTATGTGAACAGGGTAGCAAGGAAATATGGACTAACGCTGGATTGTAAAGCCAGTGATTTGCACTGACATTAGGTACCCTTTATGGGCTTGGATAATCATTTCACCACCGCATATATTCTCTTCCTAGCTGTGAGTTATCTGTTATATTCTTCTATTGTAGAAGTGTTGGGAAGCTTAATTCATATGAGAGAGGCAGATACAGCAGGCTTTCACTTCTTTATTACTAATATCATGTTTAAAAATGAAAATTATTCAAGAACCTTCAAAAATTTCCATGAGACATCTCTGAGATGCTGATTTTTATAATTTGAATTGAACTAAAAGCCAGTGGACTCGTGAGTTTCCTCATCTTGTACAACTGGAAGGAATCTTAAAGAAAGAGGAAATTACAATATCCCTCATGACTGCACTAAAACTATTGATGTCATTTTTGTCTAATGCTCAACTCTTAATATTGATGTTACTATGCTGCATTCTGCAGTCAGCTCTATAATTTAGCTAGTGAAAATACTAATTACGTTATTACTGCTGTACTATAGTTTGAGATACTGCATAAAAGATTGAATTAGAAAATACATACAAGCAGTACTAAAGCATATTTTTGTGATAAGAATGCCTTTTACACCAAGAAAATTAATACTGTATTGTGCTGTCTTTCACAGGAAGCTACTCTCACTTGGGTTAAACATGTTCCTTAGCTGTCTGTGTTCTCTCTCACACAGAGGTCTGACCACTAAGTAGCTGAGTGCTGCGTAAAGAGCTGAGGACCATCAAATTTGTTGTCTGAAGTAGAAACCAGTTGTATTCATTGTCACACATTAACGGGCTGTGGACAGGAACCATGTGCATGTACTAAACTCATCTTCTTAACGGATTTCCACAAAGATTTTGGCAGCTTTCTCTTTCTTGATAAGAATACGTTTGTTCTGACTAATTCCTATCTCCAATTTTAATTGAAGCATAGGTACTCAGTTTAACTTTGGCTCTTCTATATTTGGTCCCTTTTATCACAAAAATCAAATGTTGAGAGGGAAAAGCCTGTTAGATTTCTTCCTTTAAATCAAAGTTCTTGACTATTTTTTTGTCAAAATCGGTGACAAAACTCTTCATAATCTTGTGGCAAGATTTGTGCCCTTTGCTCCCGAAGAAAAGTTTTGTCTTCACTAGTCTGATACAGACTAGTGATGTGTTTTATCACTATTATCTTATTTATAATGAGGTCTGACATTCTCTGTGTATGTTCACCTTTATATATTAGGTCAGTGTTAAAGCCATTATCAACCTGGAAGCTTGGATTACTACCAAGATTCAACTTTTGTTGCCCAATAGTGCTATAATATTATAGTCTATTTAAAAAAAAAGGCAACATAGAGGTCTCATTGAATTATGTTTATGAGAAGACTGAAGCTTCATTTACTTGCAATGTCATTAGAGCTCTGAGACAGCTTTATAGCCTTGTGAACAGTATACTTGTGTTGGTTTAGAAACAGTATTTATTTGGTCACACCCAGCCAAATATTTCCTTACTAAATTAAAATAAATGCTGGTTAGTTCAATGAACTACAAAGATATATAGCATAATTTCAGGTTCTCAAGTCACAGAAAACGAGCGCCAACAACAGAAATCAGTAGAGGATCAAAAATGATGGATATACTAGAGTGAATATGAACAAAGAGGGGAAGGTAGTTTGCTGAGTGAAGTTAAATTTTTATGACTCAAGCAACGTATGAAATTTGGAAAGAACAGCTCCTATTTGTAGTCTGTTCTGACATTCATGTAGCCCCTCCCCATATATACACACAGATGCCCTTGCAAGCATGGTCAGTTGAGATAAAAATGTAACGTTTTCTATCCTTACTTTCACAAGACTCTCCCCTGTAAAGCATCTTTAATGCCTCGTGGCTGTGAGAGAGCAGGCCATTGGCAGGTCCTCTGCCCATTAATACCAGTTTTATGGTACTAATTTCTGTGAGGGTCAGCTGAATCCCACCTGATTCCCATTGCGATGAGAATCAGGCCCTGGATCGATGTCACCTCCACTCCTTTGTGCTAGGAACAGCCGTGCTTCTTGCTGGAAACAGAACAGAAGTGATGGAATGATTTTTTTTTTTTTTTTTTTTTTTTTTTTTTTTTTTTTTTTTTTTTCTTCCTTCCCCAGCAGTGCTTTAAATGGGGGGATAGCAGGAAATATTTCTAGAATTTTTAGAGAATGGCTCCAGCACTGTATGTGCAGGAGACTGCATCTCCCGCTGAGCAGGGGATGAAACAGAAAGGAGAATTAGAAGACCTGGTGACACACTGCTGGTGCAGCAGTTACCTGCTTTGGGAAGTGAATACGTAGGGAAGTTGCAGCTTTTCTGTCTCAACGTTGAGTAATGCCTCCTGGTTGCAGCAGCCTTCCAGAGCCGGTTGGGGCTTGTTGTTGTGTCTGCTCGTGCCTCGAGGCCAGGCACTCGCATCTGGTCTGTGCCACAGCGGTGGTGCTGCTCATGCCAGCGTGACGCTGCCTCGTGATTCCTACAGACGTTTTTGCACTATGGGAACTGAAAGGAGGATAACTTCAACAATGCTGTCAGCTGTTTAGCAATGTGAACCTCTCTTCTATTCAGTCACTCCAGAGCAAATCCTACCCCAGCTCATCTGTGAGGACTGCGAGGGCTTGGGGCACACCGGGAGCAGGGAAAAGGGGCAGCGCGAGGCTGGGCAGGCTTCCAGGAGACCAGGTGTCGGATCTGTGCTCCTCACCCACGCTCACGGCGCAGCGATGGAGCGGAGATCAGTGTGGCCTTAAGTGCAGGGGTTGGGGGCCAGTCCTGCCCAGCCTACGCGCGCCGGGCTGTGGGAGCTGCGGGTCCTGTCCAGCTGCGGCGCACCAGCCCTGTCTGCTTGGGCCTAGCGTGGAGAGGACCTCCTCCTCCTGCATACGTCTCAGGGGGACTGTGGGAGGCTTCATTAGTGCTTTGAAGCTGAAGACTGTCATAAGAGTGCTAAGTGTTATTACTGTTTACTGAGCTGGTCGATGCATGGCTGACCTTAATTCATTTTCTTGTGGTAATTTGCTTGGTTAAAGTGGAGAAAATGAAGCATTTGGATCACAGCGTTTTAAGAAACTGCCATTTCAGAAGTTATAGCTGCGCCTGTGATGCATCACCCCATCTGACAGCAAAGGTGCAAAACGTGGCTTTCGCACTGAGGTGTGGAGTTGCCGTTTGGACCATCTCCCTTGAGTCATCTATCTTTTTGCTCAGGCATGACCTAACAGTAACAAAATCTATTAAAATTTTGCCATAGACTCCAGTGAATATGAGGTCATGCATCACTCACTATCTTAGGCCTCAGGAAAAAAAAGCTCACAACATGTTTTTTTTTTTTAGAAACCTGATGTTGTGTTCATGCTGGTGTAGCTGTGCACTGGGAATGTTTAATAAATTTGCTGTTTCATTTATAACAGAAGATTGCTTTAGCAGCTATCTTATAACAGTTTAACTACTCTGACCTGACAGTTCTTAAGAGATTAAAAACTAATTTAAAGATGAAAAAAGTCCAGTATCATCCCCTTTTTTTTTTTTTTGCATTTCGTATGTTCATTTCTTGAACTGACTTTGACAGTGCTTTGTAAACAATTAGAGTTCATCAGCATAATGTAGATGAGAGAGGAATGGTTGCTGGTTTACTGCGACTTGTTCTGTGACTACCTGAGAAAAGCGCATCTTTTACCCTCTTGAGCATCATCTGGAGTTATAATAAAACATGTTCTCAGCTGGATTCCTTCTACGTGAGATGAAACAGATCTGCCTCTGTATACACCTAAAAAGAGCACATAGAACTATAAAAGAAATCAAAAAATCTGTATCTTGTCTGCTCCCTGGAGAATTTTCTGTAATCTTTAGCGGAATTATTTGAATCTTGAAGGATGGATATACTTTTCCCTTCCCCCAACCTGAGTAGATCTTTTTATATATTGCTAAGTCACCTGGCAAGACTATAGCGTGAAAAACCCTAGCAATAGCTAGTGAAGGAACTAAAAAAAAAGAAGCCGTAAAAAGTAATTTGAGAAAATGCAATACTAGGCTCATATTTAAAAAAAACAAGCTAATTAAACTTCAGCTGAATTTTCAATCCAATCTGCTGCAGATGAATGAAGTGTGGTGCTAATGTGTTTGAATCCTGGGGTGACAGACACGTTGAAGAATGCATAAAAGATGGGTGTGAGTTGAACAGTGCTGCAGACGAGCCATACTGCTTGCATGAGGACCTACAAACCCTCGTTCAGGCCAAAGCTTTTGTTAATTTGTGGGTGATGTGCACTGAAGGAGAGGTGCCAACAGCACAGCTCCCGAGCTGTGCTCTGAACCAGTGTGATAGTGAGATGACAAAACTGTGCAACTGAACAGAAGTGCGAGGCAACTTGAAGCCATACTGCAAGGAAACTGGAGAAACTGTAGGCAACAAGTAACATTTTTAAGCTTGATATAAATTCTATCCTATTTAACTGCTATGAGATGCAGATTAGCAAACCAAGTGAAAGAACAAAACAGTGGAGAGATTTGATCTTGTTTTATAATGCAATGGAAACGCTTCTCACTAGAAGAGCATTTTCTTTAGTTCCAAAAGTACTTAGGTCTTCACTGACTTATGTTGCCATATTGTTGTGCCCTGAGGGGGCAAAATAGGAAAGGATTACAAAATACAGCATTCCCAAACTGAGGAGCAGACATGCTTGAGATGAGCCACACAGTGTAGCTTCAACAGCTTCATCAGCTGTTGTGTAAAATTGCAAAGAAAAATCTCTTGCAGTGAAAGGCTTCAAGAGGAGAGGAAAATGTTCTGGACCCCATGGTGTCCTGTGCATAGGAAAGGAGCACGTGGGGGCCTGCACAATTGCTTCTGGTTTGTATCCCAGTAGAGGATGCAGGGAGCAGGAGAGGATGCAGCTCCACTTATCCAGCAAGAAAGGATGTTCTTATTTTGCAGAATTTGTTCGTCACTTCAAATAAACCAGTTTATTAGACAACTTCATCATGATCCATCTGTGCATATATTTTAATTATTACTTTGTTTCAAAGTGGAGTACAGTGACCTGCTGCGTCTATCTTTCTCCCTCTTCTGTCTGTACCTCTCCACCACCTTTCTGTTAACTGTCCCGTTACTGCTGGATGCATGCTAGGAGGTATATCTGGGGATGGGTATTACTTTCACCAGCTTTTCTTTGTAGTGGTGTGGCTATAAAGGGCAGAGAACATCATTCCCAATTCCATGTTGCCCCCAGATGCTGCAAGGGCGATGCTGATGGATGGCTGTGTGGGTGGTGTTGAAGGGCCTGGGGGAGGGGGAGAGGAGAAGGCAGCTCCTCTAAGTAGTAGCAGAGGTTGCTCCTTGGGCTGGGCTTATAATGCCTCCGCTAGCACAGAGAGCCCAGGAATCTCAGAGATCTTGCATCTGGGCATTGACAAGGGGGCGGTAGGGCAGGAAGGGCTTAAGGATACAAACCAAACAAAAAAGGGAAGTGGGAGCAGCTGGGAGAGACAGAATTTACCTATTACGTATCAGAAACTAAGCAGCATGGAGGGGTGGAAGGCTGCCACAAAGTACGCTAGCTGCTAAATCTCTTTGCTTTCTGGATTTCCTCCCCCTGCCCCAGCATCTAGTTCCTACCTACCCGGCTGCCCTGGGCACGGCTGTGTGCCGCTGGCTGCAGCAGGCGCTGGGGCCGCTCGAGGGAGGCTGTCTGTCCACTGCAGGGGCTCTCTTTCCTCTCATTAATGATATTTCTGACAGTGACCTTCTGCATGGATTAAGCTATCCATGTTATGGTAGGAAGCAGATTGTGCTTTGGAACTGAAACAGGCCATTTTTGGCTACCAACGGTGTGGCCGTGGAGCCGGTAGGCTGAGCCTTCTACCAGACATTGCTCCAGCAGCAGGATGGTGGAAAATGTGGGCAGAAGAGAGGCAGGAACTTGCCTATACCAGAAGAGTGAAGAGGAAGAGAGGAAAGCTGAGTGATCTTGGACTGCGAAAGGATGCTCTCCCAACCCCACAGAAATCCAAGGAAAGGTGAGGAGGTGAAAGCAGAAATTTAATCAAGCGTTTGTCATTTTTACGTAGACCTTTATTCTTCAAGGGCTGCTAACGGAGAAGGAGGAAGAGAGAGTGTGTGTATGTGTAAAAGCTCACTTGCACGTTCTGTTTCCTCCTCGCTTTACCTGTCCTGTGCTCCTTGAAGCAATGTCTGCCAGGTCAGCCTTGTAGCAAGTAAGCTACTGGGAAGACATGGAGGAGGGTGAGCACTACTGGCTTTGGGGACCGAAGCAACTTGACTGCATGTTTTTTTACATTGCAAGCTTAGTGTCAGTCTGGGAATTTGCCCCCTCAGAGCACAGTGGAAATAGGCCAGTGCATGAAAGTACATATAAGAACCTAAGACGCTAACGACTGCATCAGACCAATGGTCCATCCAGCCTCATAGTCTGTCTCTAACAGTAGAAGTAGGTGGTGCTACTTAATGGAGGGCATGTGAGCTTGGCCATGTCCTAAGGTCCAGCCTCTTTGTGTCCTGCAACATCTCCTACTGTTGGATAAGGGTGCTGGAGTATCTGCTAATTAGGATATTTTAGTGTCTGCTTATGGATCCATTGGCCATCCACTCAATTTTGTGAGGTCCTACTGGAGTAGTTCTTCATCTGAAAAAACTTAGGATCATGTTGGAGATTTGACTACATGCTACTCTCTTTAGAGAGTAGACCCCCACTGCCTTTTCCAAGGACGGACATCAGACTTACCAGTCTGTAGTTCCCCAGATGCCTTTTTAAGTCCTTTCAGTGGGTGGGAGTTGCACCGGCAGCTTACTGGCTGTTTGTCGGGCTGGGTGCCTACCTTGGCTGGCAGCTCTGCTGGCTGTGGGGCCAGGGTGAGCTGCAGCTAGGGCCACCCCGGAGCTTTACTCAGGAATGGAAACCCCCATCAGAAGAGATGTTGGTAACTCTTTTTTTTACTGCAGGACATGTTTGCTCAGCTTCTGAAGTGAGCACTTGGATACCAGTTATTCTTTCGAACCTTTCCTTCCGTACTGCTAAGGCATTTTTACATGGCTCATCATACAGTAGTCTGCAAAATATGAAGAAGCTGTATAGACATAAAGTTATCACATCATTTCAGTGATAGATGTCATACCTCCTGTTTATATGTAATTGGAAATTGGTAGGATGTTTCCTATAGCATGACTGGAATAGCTGCATTGATAGCTTATTGGAGTAAAAGGAGAGAGTACGCGAGAGAGAAGGACAAGCTGGCACGAAAAAAGGGGCAGTCTGTGTGAGCAGCACTTGCAAAATACTGAAAACCAAAAGAGAACAGAGACTCTAACCCTACCATGAAATCATGTGGATTAGGATTTAACAGAAGAAATGCACATAAAACTGAATATATCTAAATATGGAATTGTTGGGCTGGAGAAATGTAACAATAAAAAGTTTGTGGACCAACTAGAAAAGGCTGTTCTTATGTGACACCTGAGGAGCGGCAATGCTGCTACGGAGACTGAGAGGATCTGGCTCGGGAAAGGCTGGAAGGCAACCGAGCCTTTTCTTGTGCCTGCTCACACACAGCCCAGCTTTCCAGGCCACACTCTTTGCTCATCATCACCACAATGGCGAGAAATGGAAATACAAAAGCAAAATGTAATAGTGAACAGTTAATAAAAATAGAGGTGGCCTCAGTAAAAGATGCCAGGTTTTCTTTGGGCTCGAAGCGACGGCAGGGACAGCCCTGTGCTGGGAAACGAAAGCACCGCAGCGCGGCGCGAATCCTTGGCTTGGGCAGTCCGTCATGTCTGTCATCATTACACGCACGGACAGATGATGGTGATCTCTCCATTCTGGTTCCGTTTTTTTCTCTGTCTCCAGACACGCTCATCCAGCTGTTTTCGCCACAAAATTTATTCAGCTAATATTTTCCATTTTCCCTTCCCTTCCCTTTTTTGTACCATGTTTCCTACCTTAGGGTCTTTACTTTATCATCAGGCTGGTGGTATCTTTTGAAAACTCACTGCTACTGTCTGCCTTTGCTGTTCAGGGGACTGTTGACTGCCTTCCAGTGCTCTTTGGTGTACTACTGCCTTTTCTCCTGCATTGATTTTTCCACTCACCTTTCCCACCAAACGCAGCGTCCTGCACTGCACGAGGTGGGGCACGGAGGCAGTGCCGCGGCACTGACCAGGGGCTCCTTACGCTGGTCACCTTCTGTTAACGCCGGCTGTTTCCTGAAATAACTTCATTCCTCATATAGCTCCTTCTCCGCACCCATGCCTCAGGTGCTGGACCCGCTTACTTTCTAGACTGCAGCAGCAGCCGGTCTCAAGCCAGGCAGCTGGCAGCGCAGCTCGTTCAACTGCTGCTACAGGATTTTGGAGACAAGCCGTTTTCATAAAGCTGCAGCTCAAGGGAAAGGATTTCTAGAAGCTGGTTCCTCTCTAGAGGTTTCTGGGAAGGTATGCATCTTGTTGGCAAATGCTTCCCAGTCTCAGTTATTGGTAAGCAGTTCAACAAAGATACTTTAAGTACTTCTTTTCAAATGACATGACCAGGATATAGAGCGATCATACCCAGTTATGCAGGCCTGTACCCTGAGCTTGTCACAGCCTGGTTCAGGATTGCAATTTATACGCAGCATTTGGTATAATTTGAAACAGACTGAAGCTTAGTGTCCAGGCATTTCATGACATGCACAGGCTTAAAGTTATGATAGAAGTCATGTGGGGCGCTGCATGGGCAGCGTGCTGCCCGTCTCCCTCGAATCGCTCTTACCTGCTCACTGCAGCCTGCAAAGCAAACAGCCAACAACGCGATCGCAGCGTGAAGAAAATGCCTCTATGATGGACGATTTCCAGGTGCGACCTTTCACCAATTACGGTAGCCAAAAATCTTTGTAAGAAGAGGGCACGAGGGAAGATTGGGGGATAATAAAAAAAAAATCAATCAGGTGAAGGATTCTGTTGTTACGAAAATACCAACTATTTTTAAAATACACAGCCATGTGACAGGCCAGACCACACCTCCAAGGGCTAGTGATAAAGCCACAGCTGGCTGCAATGGTTCAGTCCAAAGGGCAGGTTGGTTTGCTCATGTATGCAGAGCCTATCTTCGGTAAGCTGTTCTGCTGTGTACAAGAAGCTGAGCACACAAATCTCGTATCAAACGCACAGGGGAAACATGACATTTCAGCAATGTAGTACACTTGTTACTTCAGCGGCATGGGGCTAATATACCCCTTTGCTGTACTTGACACAGTGTCACTCACGTCTGACCAGAGTAAAAGGGGAAGAACGTCATTTTGATATCTATTATTTTTGGCACTAATTTTAGCACCACTAAGGAGAGATTCCTTTTTTTTTAAAAGAAAATGTAAAAAAGCATGTGTGTCTGAGAATAAAAACAATTGTAAAAGGCGACATTACTACTGTTTCTTTGATGCTGGCACTTTGATAGCTGCTATACATCCCTTATATTGTCTGGAACTAAAACCAACCATCGAACTCTAACACACTGGCATTAGGAAATCTTTCCAGCTACCCCGACCCCCCAAAGCAAACCGGGTTTTATGTAGGTGAAATAAATAAGTAATGAATGTGAATGAAAGCTTCTTAATTCATCCCCATCAGTACAAAAGATTACTTTTCTAGTCTAATTTCTATGCTGCATGCAAGAGGTTTTGAATCACTATTTTGGAATTAGTCGCCTGTTTCCATTTTGTAACGCTACCTTCTATATATGGGGTAGTTCATAAAATACAGATCCACTTATTGAAGAAAAATGGTGGAGAAGGCGTCGTGCTTGTGATTTTTTTGCTTCAAGTGTTACCTTCTCTGAAATGCACACAGACTTATTTCTTGCTCCTGTGCTATAGCTACTATTATGTGCTTTGCACCTTTAAATGTGAGAAGCATCGTGTCTGCCTGCCAGGACTGTGAGGATTCAAGATGGAAGAGAGACAGGCTTTGTTTTTCTCTCTCGTGGAGATTTTGTATTTCTTCTTCCTTTACCGTTACGTTGGCTTGCAGAGAGGGTTAGCAAACAATCTCCTCCTGCTTGCCGTTTTCTTTATGTTTGCTGTATACAAAGAGAAGAGCAAAACATGCGGGTTTTTTTCCCCCCCTCTGCACAGGAAAATTACAAGGAAAGAAAAATGTACAAAATCTCAGCGAGGGAAAGCAGAACCTCTGCTGCACAGTCTGATTCAGTCTTCCCACGGCAGACAAGCAGGCTCAAGACTCATACTTAAAACTGTAGTACAAAGAAGACAGGCTAACAGACACATGTTCCTCAATGCCTTAATTACTCTTTCTGGTCTTAACCGACCTGTTCTGAGCCAGTACAATTACAGATGTGCACCGCTGAGTAGAGGCCCCATACACTTGACTGCATTTTGCAAATTAGGCCTTTTGTATCAGTTTGTTTCATTTTCTTACACAGTTTGTTCATATCCTACAGTAAACAAAAGTAAAAATCTTAATGAAGGTTGTTGTTTACCGGTAGTAGGTTACTAGTTAAATTAGTTAAAGAACGATCTGATTATGTAACACATTTCACACGAGCAAAGAGAAGCAACTTGAGTGAAGGCGGGCTGCAGGACGGAGCTTGGCTCAGCCCTATTAACCTGTGATGGGTTTCTCTGTGGAGTGAATAGTTTGGGAGACTGAACTCTGAGTTTCTAAAAGGAGAGTTTCATTTCCTCACTCTGACACAGCTTTGTGACTCGTTTGTGACTCGTTTTGGGGAGGAGGTGAGTATTATACCTACAGTCCAAGGCTAAGGCAAGCCAAAGCGAATGAAGCCATGTTAATATTAGAAATTGTTGGTGTGCTCAGAGGCTTGCATACGTTGTCACTCCCAATGAATGCATGAAGATGTTGTGGAAACTTGTGGAGAGGCCTCCGGTCTTCAGATGAGGTGTGGATTGAGCGTGGTCAAAGCTATGTTCTTCTTTTCCCCAACACAATAGTGACCTCCCTGAGGGGAAAACAATCAAAAACAAAACCTAGAAAACCCGCCTTATGTCAGAATAGGATTCTACATCCGTTAGTTAAAGCTGCTGCTGTTGTGTGGCTGTGCGTGTGCCCGGGTGAGCAGACCAGCAATGTTTGTACCAACATCCTCCCTCAAGAATTCGTTTGTGGGAGGACAGTTATAAGTAACGCTTTGGCCACCAGAATTGCTCAGCCAGTAGAAGCTGCCGGAGAAGTACGTTGACTCAGCGCAAGCCTGAGCAAGAGCCTTTCCTGGGCAGCACCTGCCACTACGGAGCCTTCCCTGCCAAGCGGCGGGGGCCCGGTGGGGCAGCCAGCCCTGGCCGGGTGCTGCCGCTGCTGCTGCGAGCTGCTCTGAGCCAGGGCCGGACCAAAATCAGTGTTTGTAAACACGCTGCAGACAAAAGGCAGTGCTTATGCACTGCGTATTATTTTTTCAGTACTCCTAACTATATTAGTCTTGGTTCAAGAGGTGCACGTGTGTTTGCGATGCTCTGGGGGTTTCCCGTGGAGAGCTGCCCGTTCGCCTGCCTGCCAGGCCAAGCGGGGACGCTCACCGACAAGCGGAAAAACGTCGTCCTGTTCTTAAATAAGTCTGCTGCTATGATAGTTTTTATATGCCTTCGGATTGCTATAGTCTTATCAAGAAAACTCCCTGGCCCAGTCCCTCAGAGGAGGCTACAGTCCAATTTTTTGCTGCTGTTCCTCCAGCAAATGTTATTTTTTTGACAATTATGTAGGAGGGTTTTTTTCTTATTTTAAAATTACCTTAAAAACAATAATTAGGAAGCTGTCATTATTCTTTTCTCCAAAGCAGGTTCCAGAGGGAATAAATAACCTACGATGTGATTTGCTTTTTATCACTTACAGCATTAAAAGGGCTATAAATGAATTCAAATGTAATTTTCTGGAGAAAATAATTCCTCTGTTATTCAGACTTTATTTGCTATACTTCTCAGAGCCTGTTTTACCTGTGTAATTTGAAATTGTTTAGAAAAAGATATCCACCTTCTTTCACTGTGCAAATCTCATTTCTACCTTTTTCTAATTCTCAGCCTCTGAGACTCCTTTTTCTAGTATTATTAATTCCTACAAATAATTGGAAAAGGCCTCTATCTTCAGACTATCAATCTATAACTTTCCAAAAACCTATTTGCACATATACAGTGTATTCCTTTAACTACATGGCTTCACTTAAAGCGATACAATGGTACTTGGTAGATACACACGTATATGATTATTCTGTTCTTACACTGCTGCATCTCTTTCCTGAAATGGAGATACAATAATGTGTAGAGCGTATGTATAGTGTGTCAGTGTATACTAACACCTTTATGAGAGTAAAACTACATCTGCAGTAAATGTTTTACCAGTGTAACTACCTTGATAAAATAAAACTACACCTCTACCTAATTATAATGAATGTAAAACAGGGTGTAGATCAACTGGTTATTTCTTTATTACAGTATGTTTCCAGCTGCAACAGAATTTAACTATCACATTTTCCCATATGTGTTCTTTTATTTTTTTTTTCCATAATGCCAAGGATTTATTATTTCTAAATGCAATCATGACATCAGTTGCAATGGCAACATTTTAACTTTGCCCTGTGTTCTGTATAGACAAACCTCTATAAGTCAAATAGTGGGCTTTCAAAAATGAGCTTATCTCTAAGGTTAAACAAGGTGTGGTAACACTGCATCAAGAAAATATGTTGTTTTTCCAGCCCCTGATAGTGTTCCTCACTCTATAACGTGAAGAAAGTTTAATATCTTTCTATTTACATATTTTTAGAACCGTCATATACTTTGTTTTCAATGAAGACGTTATATTTAGAAGTCGCTCAAAATGTGGAGCATGTGTTAAGTTTCTTTTGCGTAATCTGTCAAGACTAATTTGATTTGAGACCAATGCCTCTTTTTCCCCATCTGTTTGGAAAAGTGCAGTTGTAGAGACATCAGTCATGTAACACTTTCCGTGAAACAGCTTTACTGACAGTTGGGAGTTGTCAGTAACCATGTGGATTTCAAGCTCTCAGTCTGGCTAGGAAGGAAAAAAAACCCTCTGACACATAATTTCCACAGAGCCGTAGAATTTAAGGCCGGAAGGAACCAGAGTGATCATCTAAGTGACCTCCTGCCTAACTGAACCTATAGTGTTTCCAAGAAATAAGTCATGTTTCAAGCCTAAGAACTGCAGAAAACACTGACTTTTAGAACAAACATACACTTTTAATTTATAAGCATTCACTCAGCACAGTCACAGTAATTTATTTCAATAGTTAACTACCATTTATTCAGTTTATATATATATATATATA